TGCCAAGTCAGTGAAAGAGAGTGGGCATTACCTCCACCCTTCCCTAACTCTTTTCTTTATTTGTTTTTACTTTCTGCTTTAAAATCAAGGGTTTCTGATTTCGTTATATTTGCCGGGAACTGTCTCTGTCCCTGCAGGCAAAAGTAGTTTCAAGATCCACCGTGGAAGTTTACATTATCTCTCAGTTCTTTTTTTGTTGTTAAGACTAGCATATGTTAATAATGCCTTCGGTAAATTACAAAGTGTTTTAAAAGTTGTCTCATTTGTACCAAGAAGAGACAGTATACAAGGGAGGGTTGTTGTTATGGTGATGAATTTTAACATATTACAAAATCAGGATTCAATTATTTCAAGCAAGTTTTCCGGGAGGTCATGGTTAGAGACTGTGTGAGCTGAAGAGCTAAAATATAAACAATGTCTGCTTTCAGATCAGTACATATGGAACATTGTGGAAGGCCTCCAAGATGTCTTATGTAACTACAGTGGTGTGGAATTTAGTACCGTGGGGTAGTCTGCCCTTATATATTGGGGATAATTCCAGGACACCTAGTGGATACCTGTAACCATAGTTGGTACTGAATTCATTATAGTATATATTTTGCATTCATACGTACCTATGAAAAGTTTAATTTGAAAACTAGATGCAACAAGAGTTTGACAGCAGTGACATAATGCAGTAGAACAATTGTAACTATGTTTCATAATAAAAGTTATATAAATGTGATTTCTCTCTCTCTCTCTCAAAATATTCTGTTGCACTGTGCTCATCTATTTTTGAACCGAGGTTGACTGTGGGTAACTGAAACAGTGGAAAGCAAAATCACGGATATAAGGGAACTATGGTATTTTATGTGGTATTTCGCTTTATGTATCATTATCTTATTTTTATCACAAGTAGTTTGGGTAATAATACAACAATCTGAAATCTCTCCCTTCCCTTCAATTTCTACTTTTGATCCTTGTTTCCCTGGCTCACTTTACTTTTTACTTCTTTGTTTGCATTGTCATTTTCCTTTATGTGCCCCTTTGGATTCCAAAAGGTGATTGGAAAGATCTATCCGTATTATCTCTACCTCTATCCTCTCTATCTCTATGTCTGTCTCTATCTCCATCTCTCCTTATCTCTGTCCCTATCTCTATCCCTATCTCTATCTCTAATCTATGTCTCCATCTATCTCTATTTCTGTCTCTATTATCTCTCTTTCTCTACAATCTCTATCTATCTCTATTTCTACTTCATCTTTATCTCTGTCTCTCTCTCTATCTCCCCTGACAAACTTTCTTGCTTCCTACCTCTACTTCCATCCCCCGTCTACATACTCTCACTCTCTTTTGCATGACAGTTCTGTGGTTTGGTTTTAGCAAATAATTTCTAATAGAGGGGAGTGCTGGAGATGATGGAGGTCTTAAAGTAAAACCCTCTAGAAAACAGCTTCCATCTCTGATGTGCTGACCAAGGAAACTTCACTAAGTATTTGATATTATGTATTAGTTGGCCTTACTTCTCTTTCTGATTTTCCTATTACTGCATTCATGTTCAAGAGTTTGGGTAGGCATTGATAGTACTCTGTTGTTTCAATATATATTTTTTTCATTATAGCCACCCCTATTGTCCTTGGTTGTACCCCTCTGTAGCAAATGTAAGTTTCTGGTTGTCAAATCGTATGCTATTTCCTTCTCATAGGTCTTACCATTTGCACTTTATCATCTTTTCCTGTGTTCACACCTTATGTAACATTACAGTGTTTTGCTCTTGGAAAACACAGTTGAGCAAGGGAGGCTAAGATAGGAGAATCGCGTGAGCCCAGGAGTTCAAAACTACAGTGAACTATGAAGGCACAATTGCACTCCATGCACTCCAGCCTGGGCAACAGAGCAAGACCCTGACTCTAAAAAATAAACAAAAATAAAGAAAGAAAAGAACAAGAGAAGGGAAATAAAAGAAAAAGAAAGTATGGCCCCAAATCTCACTGTAGACAAGCTGGGTTAAAGAACCCTGCCTGATTTATGGAGGATCCAGCGACATAGAAGCACTTCAGCTGCAGGAAAGAAGATTCATAAGGAAACCAAGAATATATATCAGACTTTCAGACATTTATGGCCTTTAGGTAACTTTCAGACATTTATGACCTGTAACTTTCAGGCCATAAATGTCTGAAAATTACATGTAAATGAAATAAAACAGTTTTCAAATGTATATATTTTTTAAATATGAAGATGTAACTATTCTATTTTGGAAGACAAGATTTTTTGAAAATACTCTGTTTCAAGTGTTATCTTAGGAAGATTATCCCATTGGTATACAATTATGTACCTTTTCTTTTTTACACAAAGTCTAACTCTGTCATCCAGGTTGGAGTGCAGTGACATGATCTCGGCTCACTGTAACATCTATCTCCTAGGTTCAAGCGATTCACCTGCCTCAGCCTCCCTAATAGATGGGACTGCAGGCTCCTGCCATTATGCCTGGCTAATTTTTGTATATTTAGTAGAGATGGGATTTCGCCATGTTGGCCAGGCTGGTCTTGAACTCCTGACCTCAACTGATCTACCCACCTCGGCTTCCCAAAGTGCCAAGACTACAGTCATGAGCCACAGTGCTTGGCCCAGTTATGCACTTTTATTTATTTATTTATTTATTTATTTTTGAGACAGTCTGGCTCTCTCACCCAGGCTGAAGTGCAGTGGTGTGATCTTGGCTTCCTGCAACTGCTGCCTCCCACATTCAAGCGATTCTCCAACCTCAGCCTCCCAAGTAGCTGGGACTACAGCTAATTTTTGTATTTTTAGTAGAGATGGGGTTTCACTCTGTTGGTCAGGCTGGTCTTGAACTGCTGAACTCATGATCTGCCTGCCTTGGCTTCCCAAAATGCTAGGATTACAGGCGTGGGTCACTGCGCCTGCCCCTAGTTATGCACATATTAAGCCAAGATGTTTTTCTTATGGTGAAATGTTTGAGAGCATGAAATTTTAGGGAGTTCTTCTTTGAATAACGAAGGAATTGGTATACCTAGTTGGAATTCAACAGGTGGCTTTTTACTTTTGAGCAATTTCTAATTAGTGTGTTGAACATATGCTTTTAATTATTGTTCTTTCAGTAAATACATACTTATTTTTCAACTAGTAGATTATAGAATATCCAGAAGCAGAGAAATTCAATGCTAACTTACTGTTTTTCACTGCAGGATGAAGAAAAAAAAAATGGTTAGAGGTTTGCAGAATGTAGTCTTAAGTAGGCCAGGTTTTAATCCCAGGTGCTTTTAGTTAAGGCCAAGATATTGGGGACAGTGTTGGTAAGACACTCCTGAAGGATTTTTTTTGTATGGTCAAAGCAAAGTAGCACACGCTTGTAAGTTGTTATGGAAACACAAAATCTTGTATTTAGAAGACTATTCTAAAACAAATTGATTATTATTCTCAGGTATTAGATGAGTAATGTGAAACCATGATTTATTCCATTTGATTTTTTCCCATGCAGGAACACAACTTTTGTACGTGTGTGCAGTTGTCTGAGGCCTACTACACAGACCTTCTTTCTACCCAGTGCTTTCTTACGAGGCCAAGTATCTTGCTGCCCATATGTATTAGTTCATTTTCACACTGCTATAAAGAATTATCCCAGACTGGGCAATTTATAAAGGGAAGAGGTTTAATTGACACACAATTCAGCATGGCTGGGTAGGCCTCAAGAAACTTATTATCATGGTACAAGCCGAGGAGGAAGCTAGGCATCTTCTTCACAGAGCTGCAGGAAGAAGTGCTGAGCAAATTCGGATGAGGCTCTTATAAAACCATAATATCTCGTGAGAACTCACTCACTAGCATGAAAACAGCATGGGAGAACTGCCCTCATGATTCGATCATCTCTGTTTGGTCTCTTTATTGACATGTGGGGATTATGGGGTTTATGGAGATTACAATTCAAGATGAGATTTGGGTGGGGACACAAAATCTGACCATATCTTCATACATGTCTTTTGTTTCATTCTTCACTTCTCTCTAGTTGAGAAGAATGTATCTCTGGAGCTTATAAGTCTATCCTTCGTAAGCAAATTTTGAACTCTTCAAATCAACAACAATGTTCTATTAGTTTATATTTCTTAATAGCTAATATAATTCACAGGGCATAGTGTGTGCATGGAAACTGTCCAATTAATGAGAAAATAATGTCTAGCTATGCTATTTCAAAATTTAGCTTTATGACTGAATTATATGTTACAATCCTAACAATGATGACTCAGTAACAACTTTGACTCATTAGTTGAGTTTTGTTTGTATACTGTAAAGTGTGATATACTGGATTTAAAAGATAAGTGCCCTAAGCACAGACACACTGGGAAGAAGGTTTCAGGAATCCCCTATATCCAATAAAACTAATTGATAATTGAGACACATATAAGCAGCAAACTCCCTACTCTACTGAAGTGCACATTACAAAGTTGTATTTTGGCTGACAGAGGAAAAGAGTGAGAGACAGAAAGACAGAGAGACAGAGGAAGGTAATTATGCAGTTGTTGGATAGGAGAAAAAAAAACCTAATTAAAAACCTGGCATCTGCCTGGACTGAAATTTCATCTATTGTGTCTTTTTCTCCAATATATTATCTTTTGTGAAAATAAGAAAAAGAACACAGTATACCCAATAGAAAGCACAAAATACCCACAGTTATATTTTTAAGGATATATAAAATTCATGATATATTAATAGTTATGTATTCAGGAATGTAAATTTCTCATTTTAGAATCTGCTTTTAAGGAATGTTCCTGTTCTGGACAAAACAGGATTATAAGGAAAAGCAAAAGGAGAAAGTGTCAAGGACATTTTTTGGAAAAGGGTGAAAAAAAGAGACACAAAATGAAATTGATATTTTAAGAAAGAATACACAATATTAGTTTACTCAGTTTGAGATTTTAACTTGTAGATGTGAGTTTTAGCCCATTTACCCATTAGTAATTCAGAAGTCATCTGATTTTATAAATTCAGAGATCCAGTTGTCCTTGTTAGCACCCTTTCTTCAACAACCTCTGGATTCCCTGCTTGATCTCTTGGGTTCTCACCCCATAAACAATGGGGTTAAGGGCTGCAGGGATGACATGGTGGAAAACATTGAGCAAGACTGGCACATCAGGGGAGACTTTCTTTTTAGCCACATGTGTGAGGACAAAAACCAGAAGGATGGTGCTGAAGAATAGGATGAGGATAAAGTGGGAGCCACATGTGCTCAGGGCCTTTGCCACAGCACCCTCTGCCTTGAGTCTCAGCACAGCTCGCAGAATGAGGGTGTAGGAGAGGAAGATGAGGATGAGGTCACACCCTAGCAGAGTCCAGCCTACAGCAAATTGGTAGAGGCGATTGATGGTGACATCATCACAGGAGAGTCTGGAAACAGACATATTGGCACAGATGCAGTTCTCAATGACATTTCTCCCACAGTAACGGAGTTGTGCTGAGAGGATGGGAATGGGCAGAGTCATGAGCACATTTCTGGTCAAAATAAACATGGCAGCCTTGACTACAAATTGATCAGTGATGATTGATGGATATCTCAGTGGGTGGCAGATGGCTACATAACGATCATAAGCCATGAGCATGAATGTGCAGGACTCCATGGCCAGGAAACAATTCATGATGTACATCTGGAGGAAGCAGGCAGGGAAACTGATGTGCCTGAGGTCAAACCAGAAGATGGCCAGGACCTTGGGGATGACGGTGAGGCAGAGCACAATGTCCAGCAGGGAGAGGAGGCTGAGCAGGTAGTACAGGGGCTGGTGCAGAGAGGCCTCCAGCCGGATGGTGATCAGCAGGGTGGCGTTGGCCCCCATGGCCAAGAGGAAGAGGAGGCTGAGGGGCAGGGACAGCCAGTGCTGCCAGCTAGGGGATGTGACAAAACAATTCAAGAGGAAGTCTGAAACTTCAGTGGAGAGGGTGCTATTTCGGTGTGCTGTCATATTTTGCCATATATTTTCCTGCTTTCTTTTAGTGATCTGTAAAATCAGGATTAAAAATTAAATAATTAACTAATCAACTGTAGATTCTTTTTTTTTTTTTTTGAGAAAGAGTCAATACAGGGGCCTGAGAAAATATGATTTGTCTATACATGTTTGGTATGTTCAATATTTATTTTTGAGAGCGTTGTTGTCTTTTTAGAGAAACTAAAAAGAAGAAAATTTCTTAGGATACTTTTAAAAATTATTAATATTAATATTATACTTTAAGTTCTGGGATACCTGTGCAGAACATGCAGATTTGTTTCATAGGTATACACATGCTATGGTGGTTTGCTGCATCCATCATCCTGTCATCTACATTAGGTATTCCTCCTAATGCTATCCCTCCCCTAAGCCCCAACCTTCAAACAGGCCCTGTGTGATATTTCTCTCCCTGTGTCCATGTGTTCTTATTGTACAACTCCCACTTATGAGTGGAACAGTTGGTTTTTGGATTTCTGTTCCTGTGTTAGTTTGCTGAGGATAATGTTTTCCAGCTTCATCCATGTCCCTGCAAAGGACATGAACTCATCCTTTTTTATGGCTGCATAGTATTCCATGGTGTATATGTGCCACATTTTCTTTGTCCAGTCTATCGTTGATGGGCATTTTGGTTGGTTCCAAGTCTTTGCTATTGTGAATAGTGCTGCAATAAAGATAAATGTGCTTATGTCTTTATAGTAGAATGATTTATAATCTTTTGGGTATATACCCAGTAATGGGATTGCTGAGTCAAATGATATTTCTATTTCTAGATCCCTGAGGAATTGCCACCTGGGAGGAGGAGGTTACAGTGAGCCGAGATCGTGCCACTGTACTCGAATCTGGATGACAGAGTTAGACTTTGAGTAAAAAATTAAAATGCGTAACTGTATACCAATGGGAGAAGCTTATGAAGATATCACTTGAAACTGAGAGTATTTTCAAAAAATCTTGTCTTCCAAAATAGCCTGGTTAGATCTTCATATTTTAAAAACATATATGCTTGAAAACTGTTTAGTTTCATTTATATGTAACTTTCGGGCATTTATGGCTAGTTTCAAAGCAATATTGTCATAAATGTACTTGAAACACAAGGGGAACAGATAACCTATGGTTTTATTCCACTAAAATAGCGGATATTGAGGATTTATTCTAGAACAGTGCTGACCAGTGTGAGCCACATATCTAATTTTAAACTTTTTAGTAGACACATTGAAAGAGTAGGAACAGGTAACATTAATTCTAATAATATATTGTATTCAATTCAATATATCCAAAGTATTATCATTTTAACACACAAGGAAATCATTAATAAGATATTGTAGTTTTTTTTGTAGTAAATCTTTAAATTACAGTGTGTATTGTGCACTTAAAGCATATTTCAATTTTGTCTACCTGAAGTCCACAACCAGAAGCTAGTGAATACTGTTAATTAGTACCGCTCTAGATATTTCGCTTGAAATGGTAGATATTAATAGGAAATAAGATAACTGGAAAAATTATTTCTCTTGTAACATATACTATATTCACAATACAGGAGAGTGAGGAATTCTACAAAGCTATCAGGGAGCAATGCTTGTCATTAACCATGATGAAAAGTCAGTTTTTCTGATTGTAAGGTGTGGGGGTGATGAAGTCCACCTTTAATATTCTTCCATCTTCTTTCCAGATCCCTTTTCCATCTTGTCTGTAATGAGGCAGTTAGACATTTCCCACTCTCTGCAAAGTAGTTCAAAGTTGCCATCATTCCCTTATCATTTAACCCTGGCATTCTGTTAGGTACCAGGATCATAAAATTGAATAAGAAGCTCTCCTACATATCTATCCTGGAACTTAAAATTAAGTTAAATTAATATAAAGAAACTGACATTATTCTTAAAAAAATAGAACTATAATCACTCTGGAGATAGTGGGTGTAATAACAAGCGACATGAGCAATTTTAGGGATACGCACAACTTGTAAGGAGAGCGAAGGGGAGAGCTGACTGACTGTGGTATAGGAGGTAGGCTGGAGAAAAATTATTGTAAATAGAGTGATGTGGTGCACACATGTACATTAGAATTGGAGAACTCTATGATTTCCCTTGCCTATACTGTGAAAGAGAGCCCATGGAACACTGTAGCTTGGCAAAGATGTGCGTTAGGTAGGTCAGGTCTTTTGGGGCCCCTCAGATCGTTCAGTTTTACTGTGTGTAATTCTGTCTGCTGGGACAGAGGTTCCTGTTCAGTTGTTATTTTTTGGCTTTAGCAATTCTTTTTCATCAAATGTTTAAGAACTGCCCTGTTTCCCCCTTATTAAGCTCACTAATATAATGAACCTGTATAGTTATTTTTGCAATCTTTATTATTTGCAGGGAATGGTGCTCAATTGTTTTAGCACTTTATGCCATTTAGTCATTAAGCATCCTGTGAAATGTTTTATTATCACCACTTACAAATGAGAGAATTGATATCTCAAAACCCAGGTTCTTAACCACACATATGTTATTATTCTAATCCTAATCCTGCATAATATAGAAAGTAGGGTTGGATCAATTTCTTGGGTTCCTTCAGACCCAATAGACAATTCTATATTTATTTGCCTCATTGATTCTATAAAAAAGGAAATGAACTTGACCCAAAATACAATTGATAGTTTTAAGAATGGACTATGTCAGAGGAGAAACGTTTTGGGGTTGGCACACGATAACAAGGAAGCAAGTTATAATAAAACTATGAACCCTGCACCGTATGGTATTTTCCTGCTGATGGAAACATGTTTTTTTCAAGAGCTTCAAGTAGTATTTTTGTTTTCAGTTGTCTTTTCCCCAAATGCAGTTCCAGTCCTTGTTAACTGGCTCTTGTCAGACTCCTCACATTAGAAAGACCCTGTTAGTAACTGCTGCTTCTGTCAGTGGAAGGAGGACAGGCATTCCCTCCAGGGCTTCTCTCTTCACTCCTCCTGATCCTCTGATTCCCCTCTGTAGTCTGCCAGGCATGGCCCTTCACTTGATATGTAGAAAAGATTTCGATATTCTCCCAACTATTTTCTCTTGCTAATATTAGAAAATATTAGTAATTATTTTGGTAAGTTCAAAAATAATTTCAAACATACTGTTTTCTTTGTGACTCACAATACCCTAAAGTAGATAGGGTAAGTTGATTATTTTAATAGTTTATCTTTCACATGGGCAAATTATAATTCAGTATTTCTTCATGTCTTTCCCATAGTTTGATTGATAGTGTTCAAATGTGGAGGAAATAAAAGTCTAAATGATTCATTCAGGTTCAGGGACAGTGAAAATAGGAATACACCTGTGTCTCATGTCACCACAGTGATCTCAAAGTGCATATATTATTTTGCATTTTATATTATATGTCTTAAGGTTGGTTTCTTTTTTTCTTTTCTCTGCCCCTACTGTCCAAACATAGAATCCTTAGCTACATTTTCTAGCACTCTGGGATCTTCCCTTCATTTCTTGCAACTCTGACTCCTGCTTCCTCCTGCTTAGGGGGGTACAAACCCTTCTTTAGTCCACTTTTGTGTCTTTTACTGTTTTCCTCTGTTTAACTTCTAAGGGGGAAACTCTTTCAGGGTTCATTAGAGATTAAAAAATTGTACTTAATGTACTTCATACTCCCTACCCTCCAATCTTAGATTATCTTGTCTAGTAGTTCTGTATTTTTTTCTTGATGTAGTGGCCCACTGAGAGTGAGACATATTGGAATTGGATGATATCCTTAAGATATTAACACGTAGAGAACATAACTTCCAGCCTTACAGTTGGTGATTAAAGAACTTTCCTCATGCCCTGGGCATATGTTCATTCAACTCTGCCTTTCTCACTTTCCTTTGGAAAATATTCACTTTTAAATCTGGGGTAAAAACTAAAGGGACCTGCTAAGTTAAAAACTTTTCATAAATGACCCTAAATCCTATTAGCTTTGCTGCTATCTATCACAGGTAATGCTGATAGAGAGTTAAATTCTACCTCTCCCCTTTAACACTGCCTTTCTCATTCAACCTTTGTCATTTATTATTTGCTCATTGAATCCTCTAATCCTATTCCCTGAAAGTTTTTACATTTCAAAATCACATCCCCAAATCTCACCGTCTCCGTGATGCTTTCCTTCTCCAGAGATCACCAAGTATTCCTAGAAAGAATTAAGTGTTTCATGCTTGGAAGCAAAGATAATCTTGAAATTACCTTTGGAAGGTAGAGCCAAAGGGAAGATCTGACGATACAGGCATGAGAATCCATAGAGAAACCTAAAGGAGAAAGTGGGTTTTGTTTTCTGTTTTGTTTCCCAGAGAGCTTTGGCATGCATAACTATTTTTAGCACTAGGTTGAAGTTTCTGAGGGTTACATAGGAGGATTATTTTATGAATTTCCTTGACTTGCTGATTTTCCCCCCTTCTTTCTCTAGAATGTTCCTGTATGTTTTTCAATCATAATTAATTCAACAAGCATTGAATAACATATTCAGCCCTAGAAGTAAACCATCTGAAAACACATTTGCTTTTTTTCTCCTCTGACCTTGCAACTTGGTTTGCAATCAGAACTTGACAATGACAGCTCTAGGACTGAAGACTAACTGTTTTTAGTTCCATCTAGGAACAAGATGTGGAAACCAGAGAAGTTGAAGGTTATAGATTAAAGCAAAGACCTGAAGTTTAAGCCTTTTTCCAGGTTGCAGGGTAGACCCAGAGCATAGTACCAAATAAGCCCTGTTTTTAAAAGTGGAAAGGTTGTTAGGGATCAGATCATCTCATAACACTCGGGCCTGTAAGATATTCCCCTTCCCCAGGTGTAGTTTTAGACGTTATTCAGTGCATCCAGTGACAGTTGCTTTTCTGAGTATAGTTTTCTCTTGTTGGCAGAAAATCATAGCTTTTAGCAATTCTTTATATGAACAGAAATATGTTGAACTATTTCCTGACTGTTGTTGGTCCCCAACTATGGTCTTTGTCCTCAACCTCTATAGTTACACAAACTAAATTTAGTTCCTCTGGAATAATTCAAGCATTTGTAGGCATATGTTTTGTCCTGAAGCTCCTAAATTTCCATATTCACAGTTAAAAATTCCAAATTTTCTCAACAGGGCTCAAGATGATGCACTTTCTAGCTTTCCTATCACCTATTATCACCTATTAATCTTCTATGGACAAACTGCAGTTTTTCTGCATTTCTGGTACCACCAAACACCCAGAGGAGGACAAAAGAGAGAAGTTTCCAGAGCATATATGCCTGCTGACCTGAGACAGGATGCAGCCTCTACTTACTCTCTTTTCAGACTACTTCAGTAGTACTGAGCCACAAATGGATAAAAGCACAGATACGAATTGAAGACGTAGGTCTCTCCAGTCTTCTGGCTAATCTTATACCGCCCTTAGCACCGTCTGCCCAGACTCACAAAAAATATAAAGCATGATGGGCTCTTGCTTCACTGATAATGGAGTCTGAGGCAGCTATAACTCTAGCATTTCAAGAATTCTGCCCTTTGAGAACTTATCAATCCTTCCTCTTTTGGGACTAAAAGGCTCTCCTGGGACAGACAGACAGGCATAAGGTAGAAGAAAAGGAATTTCTTTCTCTCTGAAAGAAAGGACTCCGGGCAACCCAGCCATACACTGACTGCATGTCCTGTAGGTAGTAAGTCAGTCTCCTGGGCACAGGGCTCTTCTGTACACATCTGCATGTATTCACACTCATTTGCCTGTGCACACTCAGTAGCGTCTTTCATGGAACCAATAAGCAAACTCAGAAATTTTTGTAGGTTTTTTGCACATGTGTGTTAAAATAAATACAGCTCAAACCATGCTGTGGAATGGACTTGTGTCAACATCATAACTTTTATCATGGCATTATAGTGAAAGTAATACATGAGAAAACCAAATAAAGTCTTACAGAGGAAATGCAATGTGATATTCGGAGAAGAAAGTCCCATAATAATTTTTGCTGTAGTGAGAGATTTAAAAATGACATTTATATACAACTGGATTTTAATTAAGAATTATGAGATTTTCTTTTCTTTTTAATTTTTATTTTGAGCCTCATGTGAATTGTTCATACTCCTCAAGTAATGGGAACAAGCATCACCGGTATCTTCAAGACCTTTCTTTTTTGTTTCCTTTCTTTTCTTTCCTTTCCAACTTTTTTTTATTCAGGGCGTACATGTACAGTTTGATTCATGGATAAATTGCTTGTTGTTGGTGTTTGGTATACAGATTATTTCATCACCCAGGTAGTGAGCATAACAAGTGATAGTTTTTTGATCCTGACCCTCCTCCCACCACCCACCCTCAGATCGGCTCCTGTGTCTATTGTTCCTTCTTTGTTTCCATTTGTGCTTAGTGTTTAGCTCCCACTTATAAGTAAGAAGGGGTGGTATTTGGTTTTCTGTTCCTGCATTAATCACTTGATAATGCACTAGTTCAACAGCAATGTCTATGTTGCTACAAAGGAAATAATTTCATTCATTCTTTTTTTTTCTTTTCCTTTTTTTTCTTTTTAAGACAGGATGTCATTTTCTTACCTAGGCTGGAGTGCAGTGGCACAAACATGGCTCACTGCAGCCTTTAGCTCCAGGCTTAAGTGATCCTCCTGCTTCCTGCCCCACAAATAGCTAGTCCTACAGATGCACACCATCGTGCTGGGCTAACTTTTGTATTTTTTGTAGAGAAGGTTTTACCCTGTAGCCCAGGCTGATTTCAGACTTCTGAGCTCAAGGAATCTGCCTGCCTTTTTCTCCCAAAGTGCTGGGATTATTGGCATGAGCCACCGTGCCTGCTGATTTTGTTTTTTTCTATGGCTATGTAGTGTTCCACGGTGTATGTGTTCCACGGTGTATATGTACCACTTTTTCTTTATCCTGTCCACCACTGATGGAGACCTAGGTTGATTCCATGTCTTTGCTATTGTGGATAGTGCTGCAATGAACATATGAGTGCATGTCTTTTTGGTAGGATGATTTATATTCCTTTGGATATATGCTCAGTAATGGGGTTGCTGAGTCAGATGGTAGTCCTAAACGTTCTTTGACAAATCTCCAAACTGCTTTTCATAGTGGCTGAATTAATTTACATATATACTAGTAGTGCAGAAGTGTTCCCTTTTCTCTGCAGCCTTGCCAGCGCCTGTTATTTTTTGGCTTTTTAGTAATAGCCATCTGTCTGGTATAAGGTAGTATCTCACTGTGGTTTTGATTTGCATTTCTCTAATGATTAGTGACGTTAAGAAATTTTCCATATGCTTGTTAGCCATGCTCATGTCTTTGTTTGAGAAATGTCTGTTCATGTACATTGCTGATGTTTAATAGTTTTTTTTTTCTTGTTGATTTAAGTTCCTTATAGATTCTGCATGTTAGATCTTTGTTGGATGCATAGTTTGCAAATATTTTCTCCCACTCTGTAGGTTATTTGTTTACTCTGTTGACAGTTTCTTCTACTGTGTAAAGGTTCTTTAGTTTAATTAGGACACACTTTCCTATTTTTGTTGTCCTTACTTTGGGGGGGTCTTAGTCATGCAATCATTGATAGAGACTTTGTACAGAATGGTATCCTAGGTTTTCTTCCTGGGTTTTTAAAGTTTTAGGTTTTACATTTAAGTCGTTTTTTTTGAGACAGATTCTTGCTTTGTCATCAGGCACATAGTGGTCTATGGTCAGACAACATAGCGGTCTATGGCCAGGATTGTCAGTACCGCAGATTCCAGGCCAGTGCATAGATAAATCATAAACATCTGTACATAAACAGGGAAGGCAACAAAAACTATTTCCCTGAAGTTGAACTAGATGATACTAAGCATCTTAGAGATAGTAACAATTGACAGGCTTAAGTTAGTGGAGGTCAACATTTTCACCAGTTGTCCCTAATGAAAATATTTAGCTAGCAAATGTAGTAACTGTGTGTAAAGACCTAGCTTTCAGCAGCCTTGGGATTTTAAAATAATAAACAGCAAAGTCTCAGAAATGATGGAGGAAAACTCTTCAATAGTAGAGGTTCTTAATGTATGATACCAAAATAAAGTGATCTGGAGGTTAAACATATTTTGTGTAGAGTGAACAAAATTGAACATATTAGAGTCTTTAAATATACAAATGCAAGTATTCAGACTCTAAAATGAGATTTTTATATTTAAAATATTTTTAAAATAATACATTAAATTATAATTGAAAAGTGGTATTTTACTCAGATTTTTTTGTCATCTTTATTCCTTGTTAAACGATTTGTTTAGTTTTTTTTCTTAATTCTGTGTCAATTTCAAAATCTCTACTTAGAAAATGATCACTTGGTTACTTTTGCTTTATATATTTATATGAAGTATCACTTCAGTTTGCTTCCACTTGTCTCAGTTTATATCTTCATTACCTTTGCACTATTGTCTGTACGTTTCTGATCACTCTACCTTGAGTTTCAATCAGTGCTCCATTTCCAATTAGGAGCCAACTTCACATTTTTGCAGCTCCTAGAATACCCAAAGAAATATTGTTTTATTTCTCTTCTATATCTTACTGTGAATGACTTTATATTATTTCAGCAGCCACACTCTCTGTCTGCCCTAAAATCCACTCTAGCAAAGACTGTGGAGGATGGGGTTTCCCTGAGTCCTTAAGCCTAAGATAGATCCCTGTTAACTCTTCAGACTTTATAGTCTCCTAACTGAAAGTCTCTTTCATGAATGTAAGAGCTGAGAGGCCCATGAAGAGCCCCATGCACTGGAATAATCTGGATCTGGAGAGCTGACTTCAAACCAGGAACTTTATACTAGAAGTGCATTTAATCAACTAAATCTACATACATTAGAGATAACAGTCACACTATAATTATGTTTAGTAAGCACTCACTTTGTTTCCAAATCTTTTAATATTTTACAAGCTGCACAGAGTTTTACAACATTCTCTTTAAGCTTCAATATCCCTGCTCATAAAATGCTATAAATCAGTATGAATTTGATACCGTGAACTCAAAGAGCTCTAGGTGAAATGCTCAAGTCAAAATTTCAGGAGAAGCCATAACCTGTATTTAAGTCTAGATCTTATGACTCCTAATTTCTCTTGCCACTGTATCTTGATTGGTTTTGATGAAATTCCACATCATTTTAATTGTCATGAAATTCAGCTTCAGATATGTAAATGAAGAGAATCTTCACGTGGAAAGGCTATTCAAGACAATTACTGGGCAACAAATTTTACAAAACCTTTGTCTCTCTTTAGGCATTTTGTAGTATAATGGGGTTTAAATTTGAGTACTTTTTGTAGTTTTAATGGGTGAAATGGAGAGATTGTTTTGGAATCTTTGAGCTATACCTTCCAATGGACTGTATTGAAGTCATCAGACATTGTATGTGGGAATGTAACAGGAGTAGTAAAAAAAAATGTTTCCAGTATTTACCTCTGTTATGATCTCATTATTGTCTAATTGAGTTGTTGTGGAAGATCCTCTTGGGGGCAAAATGTCAAAAGCTTTTAGGTTTAAGTATCCTAAGTACCTGCTCTCTTATCTGTTTTGTCTTGACCCCATAGATAACAGGGTTAAGAGCAGGGGGAAAAACCACATACAAATTGGCCAGAAGTATGTGGATGTAATGAGGGATGTTGTGGCCAAAGCGGTGTGTCATGAAGGAAAAGAGGGCTGGCAGGTAGAAAGCCAACATGACAGAGACATGAGAGCCACATGTGCTGAGTGCCTTAAGCCGGGCATCCCAGGATGGGAGATGGAAGACAGCTCGGAGGATTTGGACATAGGAAAATCCAATCACAGAAAGGTCAATGTATCCCACTGAGAAGGCAATCAGTCCATATATAACATTAACTCTAATACTGGCACAAGCTAACTTTGCCAAGCCCATGTGTTCACAATAGGTGTGAGGGATAATCCGGACACCACAGAAAGGCAATCTCAGGATGAGAAATATGAATGGAGTCACAAACACCAAAGTCCTGACAATGATGACTATGCCCAGAATGGCTATTACCTTGTCGGTTAGGATCATGGTATATCTCAGGGGGTTGCAGATGGCAATATAGCGATCTATGGCCATGACTGTCAGTACCACAGACTCCAGACCAGTGCATATATGAATGGTATACATCTGTGTGATGCAGGCACCAAATGCAATCTCTCCAAGATTAAACCAGAAAATCCCCAGCATCTTGGGAATGGTTGCTGTAGACAAGCCCAGATCAGTGCAGGCCAACATGGCTAGGAAGTAAAACATGGGTTGGTGGAGGCTCCGTTCAGTCTGAATCACAAACAGGACAGTGATGTTCCCTAGAAGGGCTATTAGATACACTGCAAAGAAGGGGAAGCCAATCCATACATGCACATCTTCCAGCCCTGGGACCCCCACTAGGAGGAAAGTAGAAGGGTGGAACTGTGTATTGTTGGTATGAAACGTATTGGTGGCCATTCCCTACAGACACATTTTTTGCAGGAGTTTTCTTGCTTCCAGTGAGAAACCATAACTTCTTTCATAGCATGTTGCCTATTTCTTGGAGAAACAGAAAATCTATTCTTTAACTTCATAATACAGCAGAAGAGACCTAGAGAGGGAATATGAAATGCAGTTAAAAAGACAATCTCACTTTTAAATATTGGCCTCACCTACACAGAAAACCATGCAGAAAATTTCCAAAATACAGCAATCTTGTACTTCCCATGACTTTCATCCCTTCAGTCTCTAAGAAAAACCTTCCATATGGCATTAAATTAACATATATTTGTTGCTAATTATGCTTGTTAATCAGGATGTAAAGAGTAGCCAAGATGAAGTGTGTGTGTGTGTGTGTGTGTGTGTGTGTGTGTGTGTGTGTGTGTAAAATGCCACTGGACTGAGATTAAGGAGGAAATGATGAGAGAAATGATACATTCTTGCAAAGTGGATCTGAGAAATTAAGAATATTCTATGTGAGAGGAGACTCAGTAAAGGTGGGGGATTGGTTACCTGGTACTTGGATCTGAAATAATAGTTTTAAAATTTAGATGCATAGGGACACTACTGCATAATTCCAGAAAAACAATGCTCCCTCTTAGAACTTCAAAGGCCCTTCACTCACTATGTTATATTATGTTTCCTTTCCTGAGTAGAAAACACTGGCTGCTCTCAGATACTGTTCGGAGCCTTTTGTGATTTATGATCTTCTTTTCTGTCTTCTCCATTTTGCATTATATAAATGGACGATTGCTTCATAATCCCACCTAGACAGTGGCAGTGTCATTGTTTCTGCCTTTTTAAAAGCTACCTAGGTCAGATACTTGCCTCAGATTGGGGACAGTCTAGTTTGTGTTAATGTTGTAATAATTTCCCTGACATACTGATGGACAGTAATATGTCTAAGTTGGCAGCAGGCTAGTTTACTGTCACAATGAATCTGCCTGGTGTGCCTTGTGGTTGAGTTTGGGTTGTAACTGGCCCTGAGTCATGGATGCAATCTGCAATATAATATGCCTGTGGAGTGCTTGGGTGTGCGCAAATGAGACTAGGACATGGTGAGAAGCTTTGCTGCTGCAGGGTGTATTCTGTGGTAGACTGGGCCATACACAGAATACATTCAGTGATGGGTTTGTTAGATTAGGGCAGTGCCATATCCATAGCAGTGCCATGAGTCAAGTTACTTTGATGCTCATTTGAGTGCAATGAGTTCTAATATGGTGTTAATAACTTAAAGGAAAAATATCCCTGTGACTTGGCTACACTGCAGGCCCAAAGAACCGCTTTGGAAGTATAGTAGTATGTGTATTTGGGTTTATATATTCCCAGATTGTGTCGATTTTATGGTGTGGAATTGCTTTCCAAGATACATCATGATTATGCTAAAGGGAGGGAAGATACTTTATGATATGATCATTTTCTGAGTTGTGTTAATCATCTTTTTCTTCTTATGAGATCTGATCATAGGAAAGTCAGTATCACAAAATCAACATTCAAAGATCAGTAGCATTTCTATAAACCAATATTCTTCAAGCTGAAAACCAAATCAAGAACTCAATCCTATTTAAAATAGCCACACAAAAATAAAATATGTAGAAATACATTTAACCAAGGAGGTAAAAGATCTCTACAAGGAGAACTAAGAAACATTAATGAAAGAAATCACAGATTATACAAACTAATGGAAAGACATTTCATGCTCATAGATTGGAAGAATCAATATCAGTAAAATGACCATACTTCCCAAAGCAATCTGCAGATCCAATGAAATTCCTATGACATTACCAGAGTTATTTTTTTCAAATTAGAAAAAACTATTTTAAAATTCATATGGAACCAAAAAAGCGCCCAAATAGAGCAACATTAAGCAAAAAGAAAAAAGTCAAATGCATCCCACTACCCAACTTCAAATTATACTACAAGGCTACAGTAATCAAAACAGCATGGCACTGCTGTAAAAATGATACAAAATCAATGGAACAGAATAGAGAACCTAGAAATAAAGCCACACACCTACAACCAACTGATCTTTGGTGAAGTCAACAAAAACAAACAACTGGGAAAGGACATGTTATACAGCAAATGTACTAGGGAAACTGGCTAGCTGTATGTAGAAGAATAAACTGGACCTCTACTTCTTACCATATGCAAAAATTAAGATGGACTGAAGACTTGAATATGAGACCTCAAACTATAAAACTCTTAGAAGACCTAGGAAAATCTTTTCTGGACATTGGCCTAGGCAAAGAATTTATGATTGAGAATTCAAAAGCAAATGCAATGAAAATGAAAACAAAAATGAATAAATGGGATTTAATTACACTAAAAAGCTTCTGCACAGCCAAATTAAACAACAGACTAAACAGACAACCTACAGAATTGGAGAAAATATTTGTAAACTATGCATCTGACAGAGACTAATATCAAGAATCAATAAGAAATTTAAACAATTAAACAAGCAAAGACGAAATAAACCAATTAAAACATGCTTGGGCAAAGGCTGAACAAATATTTCTCAAAAAAAAAAAAAAGACACACAAGCAGCTAACAAGCTTTTAAAAAAAGTTCATCATCACTAATCATCAGAAAAATATAAATTAAAACCACAATAAGGCCAGGTGTAGTGGCTTATGCCTGTAATCCCAGCATTTTAGAAGGATGAGGTGGGAGGATAACTTGAGTCCAGGAGTTAAAGATTAACCTGGGAAGCATAGGGAGACTTCATAAAAAAAAACAAAAAAATTAGCTGGGTGTGGTGATGTGTGCCTGTGGTCCCAGCTACTCAGAAGGCTGAGGTGAGAAGTGGGAGGTGGAGACCACAGTGAGCCGTGACTGTGCTACTTCACTTCAGACTGGGTGACAGAGTGAGACTCTGTCTTAAAACTGAACAAACAGACAAACAACAGCAAAATCAAAAACGCAATGAGATACCATCTCACACCAGTCAGAACGATTATTATTGAGAAGTCAGAAAATAACAGATGTTGGTGAGGATGTGGAGAAAAAGGAACACTTACACGCTGTTGGGAATGTAAATTAGCTCAAACTCTATAAAAAACAATATGAAAATTTCTCAAATAATTAAAAATGGAACTATCATTAATTTCAGGAATCCCACTATAGGATATATACCCAAAGGAAAATAGATTGGTCAAAAATACACCTACACTGATTTGTTTATCACAACACTATTCACAATAGGAAAGTCATGAAATCAGCCTAAGTGTCCATCAATGGTAGATTGGGTAAATAAAATGTGGTACTTATATACCATAGAATAATACACAGCCATAACAAAGAATAATGTCCTTTGCAGCAATATGAATGCAGCTGGAGGCCATTATTCTAAGTGAATTCATGCAGAAACAAAAAACCAAATATTACATTTTCTCACTTATAAGTGGGTGTTAAACAATGGGTACACATGGACATAAAGATGGAAACAATAGACCCTAGAGATTATGAAAGGGGGAGGGAAGTAGAAAAGCAAGAGCTGAAAAACTACCTTTTGGGTACAATTTTCACTATTTGGGTGATGGGTTCACTAATGGCCTAAGCCCAGTATTACACAATATGCCCAGGTAACAAACCTGCACATGTGCCCCCTTGAATGTATAAAAATAAAAAAGGGATGTTTAAAATACAGAAGGGTCAATATCAATACCTTTTACCCACTAATGACCACAAATTAGTTTTACCTTTCTATTCACCTCTATCTCCTGCCCAAGTATCCAATCTGTCAGAGAATTCTTTGCATTTTGTCTTTTACTAAAAGGAATAATGTAACTACTTTATGTTAGAGGGAAAAAAGACTAGCTGACATTCATGTGCCAGGTACTTTTCAGTGCTTTAGAAATATGATTTTATTTAAAGATTAAAACAGGTCTTAAATTGGCACTTCTGTCCCCATTTACAGAGGCAGCAAATGAGATTCAGGCCAGGGAATTAATTATATCTTACTCAATAGCTACTGTTATTAGTAATTTTTTATATGTAAGCTGGGGGTTGTAATATTAATCACATGATCACCACATCACCTAGGGACTGTTCTGAAAATTAGAAGTAATAGACGTGGTGTGATTACTTTCCATATAGGTTTTAAATAACTGTAATAATCATCATTATTATTACTTTCAATAGAGAGAAGAAGAAATATTTCTCCAGATCCTCTCTTTTTATTGTGCTTGCCACTTGCTGTCTTTAAATCCTTATTTCTCATGCAATATATTTCATATATGTATAAATATATAATATCTTTCCAGTTACAAAGATTTGAAAACGTTGAATAACTTTTCATTCAAATTATTTCTTCTTCTCTGATTATTATACCCTGTTCTGTTTACAAATTTTCTGTGTATTTCTATTTCTACCTAAATTTTAATTTATTTTTCTATTTTTCTTTTTTCTGAAATGGAGTCTAGCTCTGTTGTCCAGGCTGGAGTAGACTGGCATGATCTCGGCTCACTGCAACCTCTGCCACTTGGGTTCAAGTGATTTTCTTGCCTCTCTTTCCTGAGTAGCTGAGGCTACAGGTGCCCACCACCACACCTGGCTAATTTTTGTATTTTTAGCAGAGACAGGATTTCACCATGTTGGTCAGGCTGATCTTGAACTCCTGATCTCAAGTGATCTGCCGCCTCGGCCTCTCGAAGTGCTGGGATGACAGGGGTGAGCCACCACACCTCGCCTATTTTTATTTTCACTGATATACATTCACTGACTAACATTGTTCATGTGAATTATTACCAAATTGTTCTACTTGGTTTTTCAGTTTTTGTTTTTTTCCAATGTAATGCTTCCACAGGGATCAACCATAAATGCCAATAAGATGATCATCCCCCTAATGGTGGAATACAATGATCAGCTTAAAACATTAAATTTATTCATGGCTATTCACAAAGATTAAAAAATAGAGGTTATATATTACAATATAATTAATTGTATTAATGAATAAGCTATAGAGAATTTTGTTGGGAGAAAAACTAAAGTATAGAGCTAAATATTTAATCTGTCAGTAAAGTAAGGAAGAATAAGGAATACCTAAATTTGGTAGAATTAAGAGTGCAATAGAGGAAAATCAGCAAAAGGAACAAAAGTTTTGTTTAATTTTTATTTTCACTGTTTCCTGTGAATATAAATCCAGGTACTTTTTTTGCACTATGCAATTTCAAACCCAACAGCTATTATTTTTAACTTTAAGACAGTACTTGTTACAAGAATTTTACTTTATAAAATGTTAGCTTTGGAGAATTGTATTGCTCACTTAAAGTAGTATTGATATAGGAGTTTGAATTTGCTTACTAACATTGTCAGAGCAATTTAATTCACCATGGCCTTAGCAATCTTTTCATAACTAAATACAACAATTGAAAAAATGTGTACTGGTTCACTTGTCAGTGAAGTAAAACATTTCTAGACTCAAAGTCAAAAAGTCTTTTCTTTTTATTGAATGCATGATTAAAATATCTTTTGAAATCAGATTA